CTAGCTATATCGACCGAGTACTATTAAGGAAAACTATATAGCTTAGGTAGTAGCGCTTCTAGGTAGAGCTACTTATAGTATAGGTAGAATTCTAGCGTCTCGGAGACGTTAAGCGTTAATAGGTAGTTAAGTCTTATAAAGGTAACTAGTAGGTATATCTTCTTATACTTCTTATTAAACTTAGCTACTCTATATAGGTTAGTAAGGTAGAGATAGAGATACTCTACTATTAGTAACGCTTCTAGTAGTAATAAGGGAAGGTTATAGCTATTATTAAAAAGTACGATAGGCGCTAGGTTAATAGTCGGGGTTAGCTAATAGAGTATTAGTAGATTCGGCGTTAGATAAGTAGTAATAGTAGTAAGGTTCGTAGGAATAGCTAGTATATTAGGTATATTAGAGTTATAGAATATCTAATAAGTATTAGAGTTACGCAATATTATAGTAAAGTAAGAAGAGCGTATTATACGTTAGGTAGTTAGTATAGGGAGTTAATACCTAGCCTATTACTTCCGACTTTATAGCTAGTAGAAGCGCTAGTTAATATTAATAATTCTAAAGAGAAGAATATTATATAAGTAGGCCTAGGTACTATAGCCGACAAGCTAATAGGTAGGCGAGTCGCTATTAATAAGGTAAGGTAGACAGCGTAGTACTCTACTATATAGAGCTTAAGGACGTACTAGCTAGTTATTAGAGATCTTATTACTATATAGCGTCTTTACTAACGTAAGTTTTCGGAGCTTTACTATTACGATTCTAGCGTATTACTAGAGTAGCTTAGTAGAGTAGGTTCGTCGTTAGTTAGATAGCGAACGATTAAGCTACTCTTAGCTACTAGGTTATTACGCTCCGGATAGTAAGGTAATATAGTCTATATATATCTATTAATTAAGAAATTATCTATCTAGCTTCTATAGAGATATAGCTACTAGCTAGTAGACTAGTAGCTTCCGTTAGCCTTTAGTAGTAGGCTAGTAGCTTCTTTATAATAGTTATTAAGGGAAGTAGTACTACTATAGGTTAGAGCGAGCTTAAGACCTATAATCTAGACTTTATATACGGACTCTAGGTAGCTATAAAGAAGCTAGATAAGCTAGTTTAGATTGACTATAACTATAATAGTTTCGTAAAATAAGATAAGAAAGCGTAAAATGTCTATAAGACTCGTTTACTAGATATACTAAAGGACTCTAATAGTAGACTCTTAGTAGCTATTAATATTATAGTAGCCTACTACTTCTACTACGTTTCTTTTCGTCTAAACTACGTCGAGTATTCTATAGTACTTAACTAGAACCGAATCTTCTTATATATACTCGAAGCTATTAAGTCTTTCTAGTATAGTCTTAACGAGAAGAAACAAGCCTACTATAAGAGCGTAGCCTACTTTATTATTACTCTTTATACTATATAGAAGATAGTACTAGAGAACCTAGTTCTTATACGCTTTAAAGAGAATATCGATATTATATAACGTAGCTAGCTAACCGAAAACGACGTCTACTCTATTATACGTATTAGACTAGACTATCTAATACTTAGTATACTAATATTAGACAGCCGCTTCGAGTAGCTTATACTAGAAGAATAAGCCGACTCTACTATAGCTATTATTCTTCCTATAATTACTAAAGATACTAATATTTCGTAGCTTCTTTTACTAGTAGCCTAAGCTAAGATAGCTACTCTAGACTAGCTTATTAATAGCGAGTAACCTTCCTACTCTTATATTCTATTAGTAGAGACTAACGATAGGGATAGTAGTAATAGCGTAGATAATAATAATAATAAGAATTATAACTACTCTAATAACTAGCCTAACTCTAATAACTCGGACTATAATAATAATAATAATAACGACTAGCTACTCTTTATCTATAGCTCGCCTCTAGTAGATACGCCTATATAAACTAACTTCTATAATAATAATACTACTTTATAGAATAGTCTAGCTAAGAACGCCTAAACTATTCTTATTAACTAGACTATTCCTATAGACTAGATAGAGAGTATCTAGTCTAAGAGTACCTACGCTACTCTACGAGCTACCTAGTATTACTACGACCGTACTATTCGACTCCTACGCTACTAACTTATTCTTATAAACTATAATACGACCTTCTCTTTCTATAATAGCGTTAATAGTATATACTAGGTAATTTAGCTTTAGAGGTTACTACTCTAGGAAATAATCTATAGCGTAGATCTAGCCGAGCGTAAAGGCTTTTAGCTAACCGATCTACTACTAAAATAATATTCTACTATCTACTTAGGCTTTAAGAGCTACGTTAGCTAGGTATATCTTATAGTCTAGGCTAAGATCGAGAATACTAACCTAACTTCTAAATATCTATTCTTCGAGCTATATACGAACTACTTTAACTAGATACGTCTCTATTACTAGAGCGAGTATATAGTACTAGTCTACTAGAATCGCTACGTCTAGTAGTACTATCTTTAGTAGTACGACTATAGTCTCTACTACTATCTCTATTTAGATAGTACCTAGCTCTATAGCTCTAGCTAGTATCTACGCTACGCCTAGCTTAGCCTATACCTTAGCTACGCCTAGCTTTATAAGCCTAGCCGACTCTCTTTAGTCGGCTATATACGCTACTAACCTCTATCTTTAGGTAGTAATAGTAGCTACTACTCTTATTCTAGATACTACTACGCTAGGCCTCTACTACGTAGACTAGACTACTAGTTACTCTAAAGAATAAAGTCGTTACTCGGACTATATAGAGTACTTACGCTAGCCTACTAGTTACTTCTTATAATAAGTTAGTAATATATTTCTCTAGTAAGAAGAACGACTCTTCTACGAAGACTAAACTATCTTCTATAGCCTTTACTAATAAATATTCTCTTCTTAGCTATAAGTATAAATCGAACTAGATACTAGATAGCTTATCTAAGAAGTAGAAGAGATAGGCTAAGCTATCTACTAAGTCTAAGGTAACTAAGAAAAGTAAGGCGAAAGCTACGGAATCTAATACTAAGTCTAAGTCTAAGAAAGACTATAATAATAAGCTTTAACTTAATTATTATCTATACTTATAGGTAAGTAAGTCTTCTTTCTAGAGAGAGAGAATATATTACGAAAGGAAGAAAGATTAGCTCGGTTTACTTAGTAAGCTAGCCTACTTTCTTCGGTTTACTAGCTAGATAGTTAATAACTAAGCTTCTTATATACTTTTCGATCTAGGTTACGCTATATATAATATAAAAAAAGAAGAAGATATTATTACCTTATAAAAGATAAGAGACGTTATATTCGTTATAACTATAGAAGCTTTAGGACGAAGCTAAGCTAGAAGAGAGATAGTATTATAAGTTAATTAGACTATTACCTATAGCTACGACTAATTAAGATAGATATAGTAGAGTACTAACTAGGTAGTTAGTAAGAGAGTAATTAGTATAATTAGTCTACTTAGTAACTAGTTTAATTAGTCTACTTAGTAATTAGTTTAATTAGTCTACTTAGTAATTAGTTTAATTAGTTTACCCGCCGTAGATAGAAGTATATAGGAACACTAAGAATGCCTCTAGCTTTCGGTATATTTAACTTACTATAGTATCTTACTACTTAGAATACAATCCCTTAAGTTACTATATTACTCTATTACTTTACTCTTCCTCTACTAGACCTCTCTACTAACGAGCCTAATACTAATTAAGCCTTATATAAGTAATTCTTATATATTATAAGATTATTAAGTTATAGACCTAATAGTATTATAGTAGTATATTAATTAGACTAGTTAGAAGATTTACTCTTAGAAATAAGATATCTCTTTACTATATATATATTATATAATATATCTTACTAGTATATAAGATCCCCTTTAGTACTCTTTATAGTAGAACAAAAGGATACTAACTACCTTTATAGTAATATATATAAAGTATAATCGAGTACGAGAGTCTACCTTCTAAGTTATAATATACGTCTAAAGTAATAGACTAAAGGTATAAAGCTATTTACGAGGAATGTTCGAGCGATCTTAGTTACGCCTAGAGCTAGTTAGGTAACTATAGTAATAAGATAACTACGCCGTTATTATAATATCGTCCGTTTCTACTAACATTCCTATTGTCTCGCTCTTACTCTAAGCTACCGAGCGCTAGTTAGACAACTTTAGTAATATAGTAAAGGCGTTGTTATTATAATACCTTCCGTATCCGCTAGCGTTTAAAGCCTCTATTGTCTCGCTCTTAATTAGAGCTATACAAATCTTCGACGACTAAAACTAGACGAAGTAGACACGCCGATTCGCTTGTCCGATATTACTTTCTACCCCCGAGAAGCTCTTCTATATTACTAGTAAAGCTCTTTCGCGACTCTACTACGTCCGACGTTTCGTATCTTATATCCTTCCTAGCTATCTATAAATCTACGATAGCTTAGTAGCGGGAATTAGCGACTCGCTAATTACGAGATCTTTTAATATATATACTTATCGGATCGTCTCGTCTCCGTATAAGGGTACGAAGGTTCGAAGGCGCTACTATTATACGCGAGGTTTAGAAAGCGCTATGTTTGCGCCGACGGGGATCGAGTATCGATACGGAGTCGTACGTATCGTAAACGTCGTAGGTCTATAGTACAGTCGATTATTCTACCCGGCTAAGGCTACGAAGCGGAGAGTACGTAGATACTAGAAACGCGGACATATAGAGATATAGCGCCTCTAGGATATCTATCGCGTAGGCTGTATAATGTATTAGAGAGAACAAAAAAGACTGGCCGGCGCTAGCGGTACGACGACTTTGTAAGTGTCGGCGAAGATGAGATGGACGACGCGCGGGTGAGCCTCGGCCCCGCGGAGCTGCCCCGGATTCGCTGCCCACCCGGCTGACGGCCCGTCCCCTTGCCGTTGCTGCGGCGATGAGCTTACCTGGCCACTCACATCGTCAACATCCGCTTCCCGCAAGAACAATACCAATGAAATGCAACTGCACACAACCTTCCACTGTATTTCCACGCACTCATGAGCATAATCCATACTCCGCCGACGGACCACGACGAGCACGAGTCCTGGCCTGACAGTCCCCCACGAGGCCGGACCCTCGTGCGCGGAACCCCCGGTCGCAAGCGCAAGCGGCCCTATCACGACGACCTCGAGTACCAACACGGCATCGACATGTCAACGGCTGCTACCAGTATCGAGCCCGAGAAGAGACGTTGCATCGAGCCAACTCCTCCTCAGTCTATCAGTTCTCGTGTGGGAGATCGCCCACCGCACTGGGATACCGCAAATGCGGCAAGTCGCGAGCGCACCGCAGACCTCAGTCCCGGTCGACGATCCAGCCCGGTCCGCAAACAGCTCAACTCATTACCGACAGCCGTACCGAGTATCATTGTGAAGCAGGGCAACATCACCAATCATGAGTGTCAAGAGGCGCAGGATCTACAAAGGAAGCTGGCATACGCTGCATTTGGAGCTCGTGTGCCCCAGGCGTTCCGGGAGCAACTACAACAGGAGGACAACATTATGCTTGACGCATTCTCGCAGGACATGCCGCCAGAGCTGTGCACTCCCGAGCTGCTGTGCAGTGTCAGGTACATCTATCGTACTGCCGCTGCTTGCGCTGGGTACAACAAAGACGAGAATAGCTGGGTCAGAGTCGTGGAGAGTGTGCTCAAGACAGTCATCTACGGCCAATGTTTGGACTGGATCGAAGATGATACGCAGGAGACTTGGCAAGTCCACAGCATGTATGCGCTTTCCTATCACATCTTGCTTCATCTTTGCTAATAACTCCAGACAATCGCAAAATATCCACTCGCGGTTCATGCTTAAAACAAATGTTATGTCGCTCCAAAAAAAGTCCGATGTCGCAATCACCTACTCTCCACTGAGTCCGGCTATCCGCGAGCTGCGGGCGGAGATGATTAAGCAGGACGTCGGCATGAGCCACTTCAGCGATGCCTTCACCGAGTTCGTGCCGGTGGGTTTTCTGGTCGAGGTCAAGTCGCAAAGCGGATCGATGGACGAAGCAGAGCTCCAGATTGCAGTTTGCGCAGCTGCCGCAATCGCTTATCTCGATCTCTTGCGGCCCGCGGAACAAGACACCCCCCAGGAGAAACCCCCAGTCACACTCGGCTGGACCGTGTGCGGACACGACTGGAAGCTCTGGATTGCTTGGCAAGGGGAGGAGAAGGCAGTCCACGTGCGAGGCATCAATCTGGGATCCGCTCTTGGTTCAATTGGAACATCAGGCTTGGGGAATATTTTTGCTCTAATTTGTGTTCTTCGGCGGGCAATACAGTGGCTGGATGAAGAGTACATGCCGGTGTACACACGTTTGGCGCGGCGGAGCTTGGGCATGGAACCACAATATGAATGATGACGATTGTGATGAGCTGAATCAATCTTTTCCTGGTCATGAAATTGCTACCCTACCATTCAGCTCTCTCCGTATCTGCGCGACTGGTTGCAACAATCCTGCGGTTGGAGGTTCCTGTTTCCACCCGATCCCAGGGGAATTCAATTCTTCTCTCCTCTTACACGATTAAAATGTTTCACTTGACTGGCCGTTGCCGGAAAATCCTCCTCTGTAACCGCACGAACGAGATAGCCGGTAATGAGATTGTCTGGTTTTCGGAGCTCAAGCGAGCGTCCTGTCGAGGAATATCTGTCTAGTGGACATGCATTTCGATGGACTCAGCTCAAAGTACAGGCTAGTGGTAGCAGAGCGCTCCCCGATCCGTTCCACCTGTCCCACGACTGAAGGCGTATTCATATCTACAATTTCTCCTCCCCTCTCTTTTGGTCTTCTCCACCTCGAGAACCTCGCAATACTTTCAAAGGGTACAACCTACAGGTGGATACGTCGAAGGGATGTTGGGAGCCGCCGAAGGAGCAGAGGTCTTGAAGCGGCAACCTTCATGTCGTACTCAAAGTTTTCGGTCTGCGGAATCCTTGCCGGCCGTGGCGGAGTGTTCAAGAACGGGAAGGCCCGGAAGGGGGTGGGTCTCATCATGGTTCACCACTCTTCGCACTCCCGCGAGGCTCTCCATCACTCATGGCCTCCTTTGATTCCATGTCTCGAGGCTTGAGCGGGCATCTTTGGTCGTCAAAATTGCAGTCAGCGGTGCAATGGTATACTCGGAAATAAATGTCAAGGCGCCGTTCCAACCACATGGCGAAGGCAACGTCTAATAAAGGAGGACGTAGTTCTCTACTCTAGCTTGTACTTAGCTCCTCCAAAATTACGGACCCTCCGGTTGAAATGGACTTTCCCCTTGGCAAGTTGTTGGCTTCTTGCTGTAGTATTGCGAGAAGACACACTCAGAGACACCTTTACGCTTAATCCTCCAGCCTATCGTCGGTCGGGGTGCTTATACTGTTCGAGGGTATGAGACGAGAGTTTGGATCCAAAATGGCGGTCGTAATCCCCTTCCCGGGGCAAGGCGGAGAGCAACAAATGCCGCCATGGTCCATGTGTAGGCAAATAGAAATGCCACCGAAACAGATTCTGGGAAAGCGTACGCGCGGGTATGAATACTGCTTTTCGATACCAGGTAATCGAGGTCACCAGGTGACCCAGGTCAGTTGAGGTAAATGAGAGATTCAAGGCTGTGTAGCTTCTCTGTCCGCAACGACTTTATATTCTCTCATGGACTGCGTAGATTGTCATGACATATTCCAAATCTTAGCAGATGCTACCAGCTTCCAGATCAGTAAAGTTAGGACGGGAGATAACTTCGATGCGTAGTTAGTTCTTGCTTTCAACGACATGTGGCTCTTCTATCATTGGAAACTTGATACACTCTTTCCGCATATTGATCTCTTCGCCCGCCAGTCCATTATTCAATATGAAGCGGCCTTTCTCTAGCAACCGTCCGCAAGTCATCCCGGTGCCCGCTTTCCATCTTAAGCAACTGCTCTGAAGCTCTGGCCAGATAGTCAGCAACTAAACGCTACTATACTCGCTTCAGCCCAACCTCACCTTCATTCGCGATCGTTCTGCCTTTCTGGGTGGTTACTTCTACTGACAAGAGTACTTCTCATTGGCTTTGCCCCTCTTACTCGGCGTGGAAGACTCCCACGCGGTCTGTCGCAGGAGCCAATCGTCATGTCCCGAATCGGAAGCGACGGAATCCAGCCTCGATGAAGTCCGAGACGAAGCTGGCGTAGACGAGGTACTACTGGCAGATGCTGTCGTGCTGGCTGAAGCCGCAGTGCTGGAGGAAGCTGTCGTGACGGAGGAAGCCATCGTGCTGGAAGCGACCGTCGTGGCAGAGGAAGCGGTGATATCCGCCGATGCTGCGGTGCTGGCCGATGATGTCGAGATGGGAATCATTTTGGCCTCTTTGAAGCCCTTGATGAGTATCTCGCGGGAATGACCACTATCGATAAAGCAGACCGAAGACGTGCGGCTCGTACTAGCAGAAGTCATCGCGGAGGAATCCACTTGGGCGGAGGCAGTGCTTGATGGAGGCATGGTAAACGAGACACTGCTGATCGACGCCGTCGGAGAAGAAGGACCGTTGGATGACGATATTGCAGACGAAGTTGTCGAAGAGGAAGTCCGCTTGGCCTGCATGTATCCTTCGATGTTCTGCTGGCGGGAGGGATGAACGTTGACGAAGTCGGACAGCACCGTTTGCTCCGTCCCGGCGGCGTCCTGGGATCGCTTCATGCCTCGCATCGTAGTGCCTTCTGCAGGAATGGTCTGACAGCTAATAGCACCTGGCGGGTTCGATGGAGTCTCCGGCTGACACGAGGTTTCTTCAAACGAAGTCGTGCCAGACGCTTCGCCACCAACACGGGCATTGGAAATCGGCAATGGCTGTGTTTGGCATGAACACTCTTTCAGCGGAGCCGGAGAATCTGTCTGACAGCCAACATGGCTGAAAGTCCTCTTGGGCTTCTTCTTTTCCGCGGCAGCCAATCTCATCCTCCCCTGGCGACGCCCTTCGGCACGGCCTCTCTGGTAGTGTTCGTCGTACCACATGGCCGGTATGGGTCTCGGAGGATCGTCATCCGTCCAGGTCTGTCGTGCTCCATCCGACGTATGCGGGACAGATTCCGTGTTTCCCATGGTGGTTGCCGGTAATGGGACGATTCTTCCAGTGGAAGCAGAATGTAGAGAAGAAAGGTAGACTTCTATCGTTTGCATTTACTGTTTGCAACTCTGTGCCACGATATGCGGACGAGCCTGAGGCATGTTAGCTTGCCGGGAAATCTGTCGGGCCGCGGTGGAACTCTTCCATACTTTTTTCAGCCGACGTAGTGAAAGTTGCTTGGCTCACGAATTTTCTTCCTTTGGTCGCATTCGAAACACTGATACTTAATGGGGTTTTTGTTCTTGCTTGAGCAACAAATTGTCTGGCACCAGTGCTCGCTTGGTAAATCGAGGTCCAAATATATGCAAGTATCGAAGAGGGCCAGATCTTGACAAATTGAACCTCCCAATTCTGGGCCGGACCAGGGACCAGGGACTTGCGCATGTCTTCCTCCTGTTTTTGTGATCTCGAGGAGTTTTGGAGGATCTGTCTTTGCGAACAAGTCCAACGCCGTGTGATCGAGATCAACCGTCGGCAGGACCTGTATAGAATACTAAGCTCACAGGTGCGAGGCAAAGTATAGGCGGAGCGCATGCTTAGCGACCCCGATAGTCGTGAGGCACAGCTGCAACGTCTGCAGTCCGTGCCGAGTGGCGGTTTCGTCGCAATGCCGTATTTGCTGTACTCCAAGAGTGTCCTGCATCGCTCGCTCTGAATTTCCACAGCGCGGACTCGAACGTAGTAAGAGGCTCGCGGAATTATCTCGTAGATGGGTTCTGGAATGAGGGAAGTATGAGCTGGAATCGCGCCTGGGAGATTTCGCCTCGTCAAGCAGTACATTGAGAAAACCAATCAGCCGCATGAGGCTTGCGGGCTGCCCTCCCACGCCAAGACGCTGAATTGGCGAAGACTCAGCCGACTCGCCGCATCATCAAGCAGCAGAGCAAGGTCCATTCTCCTCAAGCTTAATTGCAGCGTTCTTTGCAGAAGATCCAGAATCCTGTGGAATAGCGCAATGCTGCCAAATCTGGCGGTTCACGCCAAAGTCAAACTCGCTCCTCCCAGCAGGGTGTCCGAGCGGCATGGACTCGTCATATTGGTGCTGCCAGTCTTCGGCGACTCGTCGCTGTCGTGGCACAAGTCACTGAATCCGTCGTCAGGATGTAGTGCTTAAGCTTGACGTTGCAAACAGCCTGTCTTGCACCAAGGCCCAGCTGACAGTGGATCGAGCTCCAGACTACAATACCAATCACGCAGCTACTGTCAAGGGCCGCAGGCGATCGTCTTCTCCAGGAACTCCCGAAGTGGTATGGAGGCCCCCCCGTTGGCTGTTACGAGTACTGACAATTGAGTATCGACTTCAGGGGGCCATCTTCTGATTCTGAACATAAGGTTCGCTTGTGCTTCACACCGCTGCGCCTCCTGTTGGTATTTTCGCCGCTCGATCTCTCGCTCGGCCAGATCCAATCTGTATCCCACACCTGCTTGTCCGTTCCACATGCTGCCTGGGACATTATTGGAATCAAATCTGTGTTGAATAATGGAGTATTATCCTGGCGTCCGCAACGGCCAGCAAACTCCTCCATTCGCTCCATTCGCACGATCCCTCATCTCTGGTAGTACGACCGGCCGGGTAATGCTTTGCAGATTGCAATTTTATGCTTCCGATTCTGGCCTACTCCTCGCAGCGAGGTCTCGTTTATTCCTGTGTCGAGAAAATCTTGACGTGGAAGGTAATGATATTTCCGTTTGGCTCCATCTAGAAATGTTAGCTTGTTCGACAGCTCGTTGTTGGGTGTGTGGTGCGGCAAAGGAACAAATGGACTTACACCCCAAAGTTAAGAACTTAAGGTGAGGTTAGAACACACTTCACGCTACCCGCGCTCGACAAACTTTGATCGACACCGAGCACTCTGTCGCTTACAAAGTCTCGTCACCCTGACCTTCATTATCGATATTATATACACCGACATCGACATTTTTGCTCGCCCAAAACCAATGCTTCGGTCGATACCATCTTGAATCTCTCGTCCTACGGACTCGCGACCGGACGACGTTTATTGCTCTCGGGTAAGCTGGAAAGTGTTGCTGCTTTGCAGGACTTCCGGGTAGTCTTTATGAAAGCATCGCAACGCCCCATATAAGTGGGGCGGACTCTCCGGGGTCTCGAAGCTTGCTAGAAAGAGAGAGGTAGTAGTATCACTTATTCTTTGGATTGGCCCATGGACAGGGCAGAGTGATAGAAGGCTTAAGTCATTGGTAGGGGAGTTGCTTAATGACCGAGAGCGACCCTCAGCCTACTGCCCACGCCGAATGCACTTTTGAACAAAAAGGTTAGGCATGACACGGATGACTTGCACCTCTAACCCAACAATGGCAAGCCACCGCTTAGTCGCATCTTCAAAACCAAGCATTCGCATACGCAGTGGATTGGAGCCCCGCCGTGGAGACATGGAAATGTCTCTGTATTGAGAGCAAGTCAGATCTTGCACATGATTCGCAGGGAGTGTTCGTATGTAAATCCGTATAGGAGGTCACCTAAACGAAGCTGAAAGCTAAGCTCTTAGAAACAAATCGAGGGAATAGGCGTTCCGAACTTCCGGCACAACTATAGAGAGAGGTGCAGCAGGCAGAGCGTGTAAAGACAAGCACAACGAGCATCGGATGCAAGTCGAGGAGGGGGTGACTTGCAAGGAACAATGGGATTGAGGAAGTCAGAGGGACATGACAGCGAAATCTTATCCCCGACGAATTATATTGGAAAGTTTCGGAGACCAACGACCTATTCCACTCTGTAAATGTTCTCAGATACCGCATTGCTCCTGGCGACCTTGAAGCTGTAGGGAAAGTACAATCTATAGTGGCTGGGATCGGAAAGGGAAATACATCCAAGAAGAAATGGAAAGACGAGTTCAGATCTTGAGCGATACTCAGGCCTCCATGCCAGCTCAAAATGTTCCTTGCTTAATACAGAAACTATCTAAAACAATTTCAGATGGTGTGGCATGCCTATTTCCTTCGGTCATGAGGCTTCCGAGCCTTGCGGAGAGAGAGGATGAGAGGATGAAACCAACGCATTCCGGCGATCTATGCGTTGCGAGCAAGCCAGTGCTCTGGCATCTTGCTCAGAGCTTTCTTCAAAATTTCGACGGCCTCGACGGACTCGTCCAGGCGAGCCAAAGCTGCCTGTCTCTCCTCTGCAGAAGCAGCAGAGAGGACCGCACTCTCATCAGCGCTGGTGCGCCGAGCAGCTACGGCCAGGATGGCCGAGACGGTGCTGTTCTTGTGCAGAGCACCGATCCGCGAGGCATCGAGGTCGCCGATTTCGATGGAGGCACGCCCCCGGAGACGTTTGCTGGAGGGCTCACCTCCTTCTGCAGCGGCCGGAGGTGTAGAGCGCTTGTTCGATCCAGGCGGCTGGTGATCATCCTGCTGCATCGGAGGAATGGAGGCTCGCAAGTCCTCCCAGGTCTCATCGTCGTTGACTGGTGCACTACCGCCGCGGCCAGCTTCGATCGAGGGCGAGTCGCTCTGCTCTGCCTGCTCTGCCTGCTCTGCCTGCTCTGCCTGCTCTGCCTGCTCTGCCTGCTCTGCCTGCTCTTCCTGCTCTTCCTGCTCTTCCGGCCCGGCCTGCTCGACCTGCTCGACCTGGTCTGCTTCCATTATCTCTATGACTACCTCAATGTCCCTCGGCTCCAAATGTTTGGTGCGCCGACCGCCTTTACGCTTCAGACGAGCAACGGCCTGGTCGGCAATCTCATTCACGGCCGAGACATGGTCTGGTTGAATACCAGAAAGCTTCTTCAACGCCTTAAGCGTCTTGGTGGAGTAATGGGGAGGAGTCTTCTTTCTCGGGACGACCCAGTCCCAGTCAGGCCAATTTCTACACACGGCATTCTCCAGCCGACGCTGCTCGGCATATCTGGTTTGCGCGGCGAGGTAAACGGTATCCAGCGCTTCTTCCTCCCCCAGAGTGGCTTTCCAGCGAGCTGTCGTCTCCGGGAAAGTCTCCTTCATCCAGGAAAAATATACATGAATGCGAATAGCCGTCTCTTCATGCTGCGAAATGTTTTCGATAATATATTGCTGGCAAGAACGCATCGCGGCTGTGGGGTCTTCGGGGAGAGAGCGGAGGACATCGGCCTTGACCAGGTCATATTGAAGAACGGAAGCGGGGGCCATGCTGGATCTTGGACTTGACGTTGTCGATCGTGTCAGAGCTCTCTGCCTCGAGTGTGATGGTCTTGCCGGTGAGTGCCTCGACGAAAATCTGTATACCACCACGCAGGTGTGGGTGGACTCCTTCGGGATGTTGTAGTCGGGAAGAGTGCGGTCGTCTTCGAGCTGCTTGCTGGTGAAGATCAGGCGCTGCTGGTCTGGTGGAATGCTCTCCTTGTCTTGGATCTTGGACTTGACGCTGTCGATGGTGATAGTCTTGCCAGTGAGAGTCTTGACGAAGATTTGTATACCACCACGGAGACGGAGCGAAACGACAAAAGACCCCCAAAAAGAACTCGTGAGCTGCTCGCTGGCTACAGAAAAGTAACAAGACAGCTCGTAGCAGAAGTAGCAGATCCCACCCAAACAGCCGTAGAGCTCTTTCTCCGATTTTGGTACCAGCCACTTCCTCCCAAATCTTTTTCCTTCGTCCAGAGTGCCTTCCGAAAACCGACCATGGTACCAGACATCTTCGCCAGTTCCAGTAGTTGCGAATCAGGATGTCCTCAGGCCATTCGAAAGTTCCTTCTCGATTCCGACCTTGGTACCAAACCTTTGCCCATATTCGGAAAGCGCTACAATGTTTGGAGTTTCTCTATCAAATTACCTTTACTTTGAGATCTTGCTCGCGGAGCTCACCGTCAACACCTACAAGAATCTACATTATAATATTCCATCGCAGTGGAACGGGCATTTTTGTAACAACGATGCGATTAATGAATGAATTAAGTAATTCAACTTCGGGATTGTACTTCAAGTGCGCGATATTGTGATCACAATGGCTTTCGCGGCAATCCATCTGCTTGAAGTTCCTCGGCGGCAAGAAGATCCCGAAGCATGCCCTTCGATCACTCAACGCTCACAAAAAGAATTGTACCCAAGACCAGTCATCCTGCATCTGAGACCCAGTCTCCCTGCAAAGATCCCAGTATCTCGCCCAGCTTTTCCGGCTCCTTCACGCAAAACTCGGCGATTATCCTGCTCGTATCTTTAACAAACCCGGGAGTCTTGAGAAGTTTCTCGACTTCGATTGGATAGCCTTTCTCCTTGAGATCTGAGATGGAAGTGCAGGTTCTTTGCAAATCATGGATTGCGCTGATTGCCGAGAAAGATGTCCCGGTCGAGGTGAGAGATGACAGATCAGCTTGCAGAGACTCGTACTGGTGGCGGGCATGATGATGCTCGAGTTGCTTCTTCAATTCATTCACTTCCTCCTCCAAGCTCTTGGCTTTCGAGCTTGCGATTCCAACCTCCTTGCTTGCGGTCTGGAGTTCTTCTTGCAGTCTTTGAATGTAGGAATTGGCTTGCTCGACCTCCTTTTCAACGATAAGAAGCTGATGTTTCAAGATTAGGGCTTTTGAGTTTGCCGCCGCCGCCGCCCTCGTTGCCTTGTCCTCGGCTTGCTCTTCCCAGACTGCGAATTTCTCCTGCGCCGCATCCGCGTGCTCGACAGCATGATTCCGATCCCCCTCGATGGACTTTTTCGCACCTGCTTCCTCAGCTTGGAGAGTTCCCAGATCCGCCTGCAACGTTTGGATCTTTTGGTTGGCTGCCTTCAGCCTCTTCTCGAGCGCTTTGGTCGTCTTGTCTGCAACACCGAGCTCTTTCTCCACGACGCCATCTTCGTGCTTTGAACGGTCACTTGTCGTGGCCTCAGTAATAGCCGATCCTTGATCCTGCACAACTCCCGGAGCCGTCCGGCGGCGGAATTGCTGACTTCGACGTTGGCGTTTCGGCTGGTGATGCTGCAAATCGTCTTCGGAGCCGCTCGAATCGGAAATGCGTAGGGTTTTACTCGTCAGTGACCTGAAGGGTTGGGCGCGGGAGGTGCGCAAGTTTCGAACGTTCTTGTCGGCGTGGTTTGTGTCCTCCAGTCTGGAAAGCTCGTCTTCCCTCTCGTCGCCGATGGGGGAGGATTTCCTTGCCATGGCAGTTGGCGAGCTCGCAAGGTGAGGGAGGCACTGAATAAAGGGTATGCTTATGAAGCTGTGGTTGTTGTGTTTTGTCGGAGAAAGCTTGGAAGACGCGCCCGGCAGAATTCTGACGTAATAGCTCCTGTGACGCAATCGGCGCGCTCGCATGCCCTGCCAAGACGCTAGTGCGGAGGTCTGCTTCTCATTCACTTGACTTCTCCGCAGGTTGACTTCCGCGCCCCGTATCAAACCGTTCGATCCGACTTGCTGCCTGACTATGCCTTCCCAGAATTGACTTGAAACGTTTAGTTCGCACGATGAAAATCAGAACGATTGTACTACTATTGCAACGTTTGATACAATTGGAATCGGTGTATACATGGAGGTATTATTAGATTTGAATGTATTGTGCGTCGTTGAGTATATAACGCATGAAAATCATGGCCGGAATCGGAATGCAACACTCGCTGATCACGCTGTAGTGAAGGCAGGGCCGCAGTGCCGCAGTCGCGGTGCTTGGTCTGCAAATCTGAATGGCTGACTTCTTTAGCGACGAAGCTTTGGTTTTTGAGTCGACAATCGTCGGGCGTTACGAGTGAGTATGAGACTGTGAGATTCGTCGAAAAGATACCTCGCTTTGCTCGAGCTGTGCCAACGGTCCTGAGGATCCCGTGTGGCTGACTGCAGGAAGAAGAAAAAAGCAGGATGCCAATTTGTGAGATGCAAGCTACCATTCGTGAGGTTTGGTAGAGGTTTGAAATCTCCCGCTGGAGACGAAGCACGTACGCGCGAGAGATTTGTTCCGGCAAACTGATCCATACTAATGACCTGTGCTGCTTGTTCATATCCGAGACCTCTCTCTTCCCTCCTATGCTCAAATTTCCCTTTTGCCGGCTGCTATTATGTCCGGGTATTCCATCGTCGAAGCTCATGCCCTCATCGTGGCTTTGCTTTAGATGGGCCTCCTTTGGGCGAGATCTCTGGCGGTTTGTTGCATACTCAACCCAGGATGTACCACCGCCGATCTGGAGCCTTAGGCCAGCGGACCTTCATCGACTAGCATCGACCCAAAGGTGCTAGCGACTGCGGCATAAAGATTCCTAGAAATGAAAAAAATTCCCGATTGCGTGGCGGCTTATTTGGCGTATTGGGAGTCTGCGTACGCTCAAAGATGCAACCGAGGCGGCCTGACAGCTACGGATAGGAGATAAATCCAGTTCAACCCCATCGCGAGCCTACTACCAATTATTAGATGATTCAGATCACCGTAGCAGCACTACTCTGGTGCCATAGTATAGGCTCAATACGCGAGTTCGATCTCCGTTCATTTCACTCACTATTGAAGAGGCTCTGCAGGATCCAAGACTATCCATAGCGCCGAAGTAATAGGTGAGAAAAGCAACGAAGCAACGGCTAGCGTTACGAAGCGTGTTCGGCGGCGGCAGAGATAAGTTTTCTGTAGTGCGGCTTATTTACAGCACAACTGTGCCGGACGCCTTGGGTGTGTACCTTATTCTGGGGTTTCCCAAAGCCGCTTGTTGTATACCATCGTCGCTTTCGGACGTACGAATGGGTCCTGATAATCGCTCTCACCAGTGTGACTTATGTCTCGATCTTCTCACGGTAAATCGCGAAAGTTCGTTAGGCGATGCGGTCTCCATGCGGTCAGTTGGAAAGTGATGGGGCGTTCATCGATCGGATCCAGAAGGAAAGAGTGTCCTAAACTTCACACAAAATTCTTAAGCTTCATTCTCGTGCACTCAAACATTGAGACAATTGCTGTTCTCACGCCAGAATCAGGGTCTCACGGTACCTGGTACCGACGCTATTGCCGCTATGGATCACAGCGCCCTCACTGAATCTGCATCCGACTCGTCGCGGACTTCTAAACATCCATCTTCTTAGGCGCTTTCCCAGTGGAGTACGGCACCGCCACAGCGCTCAATCCCACGTCCAGTCAGCTCAGTCCAGCGCTCCAGCTCTCGCTCAACGGTCATTCGAGCGCACGTCGATCCAGCTTGCGAACCCTCTCGCGATGAAATCCACCGAGCCCCAGCTCAGGTAATGTAGGCGGTTCCACGTCGCCTCACAGCTGTCGCACCTCTGGCCGTTCCACTCTGCGTCGTGCGAGCTCTTCGCAATCCGGTCGCCAGTCACTCTCAGCAGCTGTCTAGACCAGCCAGCGGCCATCTGATCCAGCTTTGATTTGCGCGGAAATGTTCAGAGAGCGTGAGAGAGGATGAGATCAGTTTCCGGGAGGCCAAAAGTAGGCTAATAAGCATGCAGGCTGCCATCTTGTATATCGAGAGTCCCACGATACCGAACGTCGATCGCTACTGCAGCAGACGCCAACCACCAGCTGCTGCAGGGTACCAAGGCTGCAGGATCATGATTCTGTACGTGACTCAGTGACTGGGAGAGTATAGAGCTCACCAAGTGCTTTCCCCCTGCGAAGAGAATACGACGCTCGTCTCTTTCATTGTCTCTCAAGACAGGGAGAAACTTTGGCGACTGTCGAATCCTTTGAACCACGAGGTAAGGCAGGACGGCTTACTTGCTGTGCGATATCATCTGTCGGAGTGTGCAGGCCAGACGATCTCCGGGACAAGATGCCGCCGAATCTCAGAATCTGGCCAGCCTTTGGCTCCGACTGCCCCGTACTCCTGCCGTATCCATGCTGCAATCTCATGCATTGATCCTCTTGAATCTCGAGTATAGATCCCACGTTGTCCTTCCACGAGCCCTTACGGAATCTCTCTACGCCGCATTTTCGATCCTCGGCTTGTCGTCGACCGCCCGGGTTGCAGAATGGCCATCGATCGTATTGCTATGCTGTGGACTTTGCCGAGTCCGTCCATGTACTATGCGCCGCCAATGTAAGAGGCCTGTGATGTTAAGAAAGAGCGAAGTATGAGGAGAGATAACGTGTGAATAGGGATGAAGTGTGTCGCGGCATGGACCCTGCTGAGGCCTGACACTCGATCTGCCACGTTGCACGGAGATGGCTCCGGACCGCGCTTCTCATTGCGTACGAATTTCGGTCGACTAGCATCCGTGCACTGCTCCATGCAACGACAGCCGCTCGTCTGTACATTCCGATAGTCCTCACCTATCTCTCCAGAATCTCTCTTGATGCGTCACGACTCCTTCGCGACAAGATCTCCGTGCGAGATGCTGCAGAAGACGATGCAGTAATATGGACGACTAGCGCAGCTGCACAATACCCTTTCCTCCACGATGGGCGAGGTGTAAGCAGACGAACGCGAGGGACTCGTCCGCCAAGACGAGCGACAGTGAGCTCTGTTCCTGTTGCGCTGACCATTGCCTCTCGCGAGAGACAAGCTTCGACTTGGCTGAGCGCCTCTCGCAAGGAGGGTTGAAACTCATGAAGAGGCTTTGAAGTGGCCGAATGGAGTCTCTTTTACGGAACCACGATCGGGCCTTGAAACAAGAGGCCGTAGACGACGCAGCAAGAGCCACGACAGAGGCAGATGCATTGGATTCCGGAGGATTCATTGGGTCTGAGTCTGCGAGAATGATAGTCCTGCAAGGACCAAGAACTGTAAAAAGACAGCTCATTCCTCAAATGTTCGGATTCACTAGCTTTCGGCAGTGTGCCTCTCCCCTCGTGAGTCGTGTCGGCCTCTGCGGAGGCTTCTCTTCTCTGCGCTGAGAAGCCGGCTTTGCTAACGATATGGACAGGGATTGATAAGTTGCAGTTCCGTTCCCGGGAAAGCTGTGAACTACGAGGCTGTAGTGCATACAAATGTGTGTCGAGGTCCGAAAGAGCAGAGCCTAGAGGAAGCAATCTAGAAGACGTAGACAGCGATATGTGAAATAGGATTGCCTTGTCGCGGGACGATCTCTACTTCGTTCCTTATTATTTTTCTATTGTGTCCTGGTCCTATCGTCGAGCGTGCTTTCCGAAGACATAATACCAGGTATCGAGTTTCTTCCAGTTACTCTCCACTTGTACACCAGGTAACGGGCAAATTTTCCAGTATTACCACACCAGGTATCAAGACACCAGGTATGAAGCCCTATCCATATACAGTCGCGTCCTCAATTGGACGAAATCAGGCTCGGTCATGGCGTGGCCAATGGTTCTGCGCACCATCTGTGATAGAAGTGCGGCCCAAAAGCTGCGAAATCAAATTTTAGGCGCAACTGCTCAAACGCAACCGGGACCAGTCACCAGTACACTTCCGTCGCAAGCATCGAACTCGTCACCGTCATGCAGGAGAAAGGAGCGGAGCCCGACCGACCCAGTGGCTTTCGGCAGCCGATTTCCCTCGGAAGTGTGTCGGCATGGTAGCCTGGAGAGGGGCCAAGACGTGTCTTCGAAGACAAGCCGTACTGTGGTCAGGGTATTCCAGATGAAGACAGTGCTCGGAGATCCGCAACACATGCGAGACTGAATCGGAGCTCGTTCCCGGCAGTGCCGCAGTCGGTCGTTGGATATGTGCCCGTTTCGACGGGCTTCATGGATGGCGTTGACTGCCAGGTTCGAGCACTCACTGGATACATGTGCGGTCACAGGCATCTCGTCCTCGGGCTTAAGCAGCGGCCACGTCCAGTATCATGTCGGTAGTAGCGTGTGTGGGTTTCTTCGGGTCGCGATGACTGTATCAAAGTTTGGGTGTGGTTACCGATTTGCACGAGGAAAGATGCCGTTGCCATACTGTCTAGGTCCGTATGGTACAGTAATCCACTTCGAAACGTCAAGTTACTAAAGAAGCGATCTCTGCGTTGTGCAAGCTGAAAAAGGTCCACGCTTGACACAATCAAGGCACGCTTCTTGTTAGAATAAGCGTGGCAACGAGAAAGTTCGCTGCGCAGATTTCTCGAATTTGGAACTTTATCGATGGGTCTATCATGGCTACACTAGTCGCAGGAATTCCTCGGCTTTGCTGCTCAGTGGACGGTCATGGCTGACCGTCTGCGATGCCAGCAGGATAGTCCATCTCGCGAAGGGCAACCTTGGAGGTCGTTGCATTCGAGGGGCTGTGAGGATCCAGCCGCCGTAATCGCTACGGCCATATGCCTCCAATATTTATCTCATCGAGCGCCGGATAAGTGAGGAGCCATTCGACCTCAGTGTACACTTAATCGGTCGGGACCGACGTAGACACCAGTGAGGGGAACCTTGGCTCGACAATATTTTGCATGAACCAGGGTCGATATTGCTCCTCAGCCCAGACGATGAGCCGCTGCAGTCCAGCAACAAGGCTGAAAATGCCGCGCAAAGTCGACGTGTCGCCAAAGAACTCACCAGTGTACAGTGTGTGGTCCTTGTCCACAGCAGGGTTTGGGTTCTCCACAAAGTAGTAAGTCCACCATCGGCTCCCCTGGACCACAACAAGCGGTAGTGGAGGCAATGGGGTTGCGGACCGTCCAGACTTCTGAAGCTCGGCACGTAGGAACCTCCTTTGGGCTGAGACCCAAGTCTGAAGCTGAAGGGTGTCTTCGGTGGATGTTTCCCCGTCTGCCCTGGCCTGTATGCTGATTGCGATGGGACTGTACACAAGCCCGAGGTAGTCGGTATGATTGAGGGTCTCGATCTCGGCGAGGTACAAGGCTCGCTTGCATTGCCGGCCTAATTCCAATGCGATGCACAAGAAATTAAGTTTCGTAGGAATTGGGTTCGCGTCTTCGTGAAAGAACTCCTGCGAGATGGTACAATCGGTACTTTGATTTGAATCAGCGTAAAATACCACTGGACTCGCAATGTAGAACTCACATGTCGTCGCAAATGAGCTTGTCCGAAAAACGCGAACCCCGCAGTGCTTCCGTGAGGACTGGGCCGTTTACGAAGCAGTTCCACGAGGCGTCCGAGGCGAACGATTGAGCGTTCCTCGCGGTACGCTGCACCAGCCGCTTCATGGTCTGTATGTTTGGATCTCTTCCATGTAGTGCTCGCTCTCCGGATTCGTCCAGTATATGTTCAATCGGTAAAGATGTCCCGGTCTCCACAACCTCTTTGCCTACCTCCGAGCTCGATATGATTTTCCATCCAACTTCGAACCCTCGCATGTCACGAACCAGTTCGCGGAAGCCCTCCGGCAGCTGCCCTAAGTGGTGGGGAAGAGGCAGCCTTCGCACTTTGGACATAAACAGCTTTCTTCTGGCAGCGGTCAACCTTGGGTCGGTACAGACACTGGTGTAGCTGAGAGAGGCTGAGGCGCCTGACTGGACGGATGCGGTGGGAGAGACTGGCTGGGTCGAAGCTGGCGGAGCTGAGGTGTATGTCGAACTCGGGAGTGCGACCGAGGCCGCTGGATCCTGTTCAGAAGGCGTCGCTTTATCTCGAGCTTCATCCGAATCACTTTGATCGATACGAGACGCCATATGCAATTCCTTGATATGCTTCGCAGAATTCCACTCGGGTGTCTCGGTGTTGCCGCTCATCTCCGCAACTGCGCGCTTTCGACCTCGTAGAATAGCTGGACTCTGCTCTGCAACTTGGTTCAGCCAGATCTTGATAGCAGCACTTGGCCACACTGTGAAAATGGGGGATGTGCTGTTGTTTGAAGTTTCGATGATGAAGCGGGTGAAGAACGAGGTTTGAAGATGGAGGAGGGCCGGAGGCAGTAGTGTTGATGTTGCGCGTAAGCTTGAAGCCAGCCAGCAACCGTCTCCGCGTTTCGGACGATCCCGCCGCGGGCGATCGGCGGTGGCCTGAGCTTACAAATCCGCAAAATGGTTTTGCCGACTGCCGAAGCGGCACTCGCTGTGAGTCGCGACTCACTCTACCACTACAATAACAACTTACGACGGCGACAATAAGGCTCCACGAGTGTCGCGCACCGCTATTGTCGACGTAAACGGTTAATATAAAGTTAGGCGCAGCTTTTGGCTTTATATTAAACCCGTTAATAGCGGTACGCGGCTTTATATTAATTAAAAGCTATTGTCGCGCTTATACTATTATAAGTACGAGTCCACAATATCGAACAATAAGGCAGCTACTAACAATAAGTAGGCTATTTTATAAGAAGGCATTCTTATCTAGCGAACCTAGACCTCTTTTCCTACCTAGATTATACTCGTAGACTCGTAAATCGACAATTTATAGTATTAATTAACTAGGAGACTCTTACATTTATCTATAGACGACTCTACGACCGATACTAGCCTAATTATTAACCTACTCCTTTGCCTCCGCCTTAGTCTACGCCCGAGAGCGCCCTAGTAGCAACTATATTAGCCCTAAGGTAAGCTATCCGAAGCTTAAAGAATAGGCAAAAGCTAATTAGCGAGTCTAGCGAGTCCTACCGTAAACTAGAGACGTAGGATAAGACTATATTCTAGTATATCTCCGATAAGGATTAGTAGCGCTATTTAAACAATCTTAAATCTAGTAATAAGTAGGTTCGTAAGTCTGCGGCTAATAGCCTACGGCGGTTTACTTACGCTAGCGAGATAATAGAGACGGATCTAGGTATGCTTTTTCTAATTTATATAGACTTACTACTAAAATCTAATCGACTCGTAGGTATACTATCTTCTAAGCCTAGCGGCTATAAGTAGTACGCTACGAGAGGTCTAGATTACATTATCTATAAAGGTAAGGAATATACTTAATACGCGTTCTATAAGCGCTACGGTCGCCTAGGTTGTAATAGTAAGCTCTAGAAGAAGTACGAGAAGTAGAAGGATAAGTAGGATAACTCGCTAAAGCCTAAGCCGGACTCGTAGGCTACTATAGGTAATTCTAGGGCTACTATAGGTAACTCTAGGGCTGAGATAGGCGACTCGTAGAAGCCTACGAGTCTTTAAACTAAGATTACTAGGCTTAAGGAGAGTTTAGGGTTTGCCTATAAGCGTATTAATAATCTAGAGGCTAAGCTCTACTATATAATAGACTTTATTACGTAGCTACCGGGTAGCGAGTAGTTCGTAGCTAAATATAAGGGCAAATATACTTAGTAGATAGTATAGATCAATTCTAGCCTACGAGTTATAGCGAGTATAGCTAATTTTAGCCTACGATTCCGTACGAGTCGGGTAGCTTAGGATATATAGAATCTTAGAGCGATTAAATCGCCTACGAATCTAGTAATTTTAGGCCTACGAGTCGGGCAAATTATAATACTACGAATCTTAGAGATCGTAGAATCCCTAAATCGCCCGCGAGTCTACCTAATTTTAGCCTACGAGTCGGGAGAATGTTAATATTAGAGATCTCTAAGCCTTTAATCGTTATTATATTTATACTATTAACCCTATACGCCCTTCTATCCTTTTAAAGCCTCGCTACTAACTCGCTACCGACTCGCTATAGCTTCTTTAACGCCCTTATAACCCTTTAAAACTCCGGAATCCTTATATACTCCTTCCTTAGCTTCTTATTCCTTATTGCCTCCGCTAGTACACTCGTAGTACTCGCTAGTCCGCTCGGGGGCGTACTCGTAGGCTCCGCTAGTACACTCGTAGCCTTAGTATCCTTAGGTAAGCTAGTAACCTACCTATCGCCCTGAATCTCCGTCGCTACCGGCGACTCGCTAGCGACTCGCTCTACTAAATCCGTAGGAGTAATCTCTATTCCTTCTTTAATAGTACTTAAATCTATAGGCTCCTTCTTTATTACTATACGTGCCTCCTACTTTACTACTAGCTTGCTTTTAGGCACTCGTACGTACGTAGGCTCGTCGTCGTCGTTATTATTAGTAAGGTTAATAATATCGATAGGGTTATAGGCGCTTAATCCCTAGGTACCGGATATAGACGAAGGAGTGGATCGATAGGGTAATTCGCGACTCGCTTAACGTTTGTAACTAACTAGCGGACTAGTAGAGGCCTCTTTCTCGGTAGATTAGGCACTCGTAGAGGGACTCGTAGGCTAGCGGAATTTAGCTAGTTTATTAGGGCTAGTAGAAGGCACTACTTTAGATTCGCTAGTACTCGCTACTATACTCGCTACTACACTCGCTACTACCTCCTTAGCTATCTTTCTTTTAGCTTTAGTACTAGGCCTCTAACCTAGACGCCTACTACGATAGCGCCTATTAAGGCTCTTTATTAGATCCGGATCTAAAGAGGAGCTGTCGTCGGTAGACTCGCTAGACTCGCCGTAGTCCTTCGGAAGCCTATTCTACCGCTTATCTTTAGCTACAAGGACAGCGACCCTAATATCCACCTCCTTTCGCGTAGGATTTGCCTAGTACCTACGCTTAAATAGTAGTAATTGCTCGTTAAGGTCGTCTTTGTCTCTACTGTTCGAGCTTAGTATAATTAAGAGCTTCTACTCTTTGTCGTACCGGGTATATATAAACGGACGTTTGTAGTACTATAGGCCGGTAACCTTCTTAACCTTAATATAGCTAGCGTATAAAGCCTAGTAGTAAAGCCAGTTACGAGTACGCGGCGAGTCGAGTAGTAGGGCCTTAAAGTCGCTCTAGTAGCCTACGATAGACTAGTAATCGACTAGCTCTAGATTATCTCTAACCGTCCACCTCTACTAGCCTTCCTTCTTAACTACATTAACTACTACTTTGCTTATATACACTATAACGTGAAGCTTAGGGCCCTTTAGTACTTTCTTCGGTCTACTACCCTTGTTCTACGACTGCGAGTCGGCCTACGAGTCGTCTCGTAGCTCGGTACTACTACTACTACCCGCCTTAAGTCGATTCGTAGCGATTAGCGTGCTCCTATATAGACTCGCTTTACTAGTACGAGGACCTTATACCTCTCCGGATAACGGATTAATACCTATATTACTAAGCGGGCGGATATGCTACTTCTTATTAGCGGCTAAAACGGCATTAGTACGGCTAAATAAGCTTTTAGCGAGTCTAGTAAAGCTACTATAGCCCTTTATAGACGCGGGCTCCTTCCGCCGTAGAGTAGGGGAATCGATCGGATCCGGTACTAGTATTAAGGAAGGGCCTACAGTCGACTCGCGGCGACTCGCTATATTAGTGTCTACTATAGTAAAGAACGGGTTCCTAAGGCCGCATTTACTATAGCGGGGCTTATCGCTATACTCTTTAGTATAATTAAGAGTATAATCTACCTTATTAGATATATAGAAGTCTTCCTAGAAGTTAGTAGAAGAAGCTATAATAGACGTATATAGAAAGATAAGACGTAGTATTAAGGAATGTAACGTTACGAGTCTACTACGAGTATATACGAAGCTTTATAGAGGCTCCCTAGTAGTAGTAAAGACGGTTCTCGTACGATTAGACGGCTCGAGGCTATTTAAGCGAGTCGGCGCGATATACTTAGCGAGTCGTCTACTAGTATCTAGGTACTACTTAGCTACTCCTCGGAGGTACTAATAAGCGTGTATGTAAAGCTTCTTAGGCCTATTACCGAATCCGGGTTCGCTACCTTTAAAGGTTAACGGGTAGCTAGCGAGTACGAGCTGTTCGTTTACCTATTATAGAGTTGTCGGAGGTAGGTATAAGCTAAGGTCTGTATGTAGCGAGGCGTAGTTAGCGTAGGAGTAAGAGAGGGGTAACTCTATAGGCGGGTAGCTAGAGCTGCGAGTGACTACGAGTACAGCTAAATTGGCTACGAGTACGGTCCAATTTCGAGCTACTTACCTAGTACTAATGTAGAAAGCTCTTTAATTACCCGCGGAGCTTACTATAGCCGTCTATCCGGTTTATCTACTACTTAAGAGTAGTACTCGCTAGACTCTTAGGGTTAATTAGATGCCTACGCTAGGTAGTGTCCTCGAGCTCTAGATACTCGTAGAGCAAATCCGGTATACTACTAATATAGCTCTTAAGGTTTTGTACTCGTACCGGGTGCCGATTCCACTCTAAGACAAAGTAACTAACTATATAGCGTATAATTAGAGTATAGATTACGAGGAAGGCGAGTCGATTAGATAGCTTAGCGGCCTCGAAAAGGTGTAGGTTAATATACTAGTTAAATAGGTCTCTCTAGCGATTTATAGCTAATTTAGCTATCTCGCCCTACTAGTACTTAATAGTCTAATTGCCTTTACTCGTAGTATATAAGAAGGCCTTAATAAAGTCGATATTACGGCCCTCGATAAGCTCTCGAAGCCGTAGATAGGCGTCTACTAGTATAGGTGTCTCGACACCTTAATTAGAGCGGACTCGCTAAGGGACTCGCTAGATATAGTTAATTATAGTATAGTACTACGAAAACACTAAGTACTTTGTCTTTACTATTAGGCTAACGTAGAACCAGATAATCCGGCGTAAGTAGACGTTAATATAGGCGTAAATCTAAATACCGAATTGCTCGATTTTGTAGAAGGCATTAATTAACTAGACGTAGTTAGGCCTATTAGCTTTTAGTCGTACGTACCGTAGCCTATTCGGATAGCGATTACGTGGTTCGCGAAGCTTATATAGTAGAGCGTTGATTTGCCGTGAAATCCGGTAGATACGGTCCCTAGTAGGCATTAGTATAGTAAGAAGAGGGCTACGAGTCGGCTACGAGTCGATTCCCTACCTACCTATAATATACTAGTAGGTTCTTAACTCTCGTACGAGCTTACGATAGCTAAAGTCTTAGGTTTGCCTATTAATTAGTACTACTCGAAGCACCTTATCGACGTAGGTAGTAGCTACTTCTAATTCCTCGTGTTCTAGTCGACGCTTAAGGCCGTAAGTACGGCGGAGCTCTTAATACTACCTTAAAGAGATATTATAGCTATTAAGCCGTAGTATAGTATAGCTCTTCTTGTCGCTAATAGTATATAGCTAGAATAGCTCGGTAATCCGCTTAATTAGTACTACGTTACTACTATAGTTAATTCGAGGGCGAGTAGTTACTCCCTATCGCGATAAGTGTATCTATAGAGTTCTAATACCGTAGCGAATGCCCTTAGTATTATGTAGGCTCTATACGACTCGCTAGTAGGTATATCTAGCATGAATCCAAAGCTTAATCTAGAGCCGATAGGGCTGTAAATCGAGGGCCTAAGGCGGTATAATAACAAAGTAGACAATAAAGGACCTAATAGATAGATTGCGAGTCGATAGCGAGTACATTAGTACCTAACCACTGCGATTACGGTGTGTGAGAGTGTGGTGGTACGGTAGCAAAACCGGCAAAACCATTTTGCGGATTTGTAAGCTTAGGCCACCGCCGATCCCTTCGTGGATCATCCCGCCGCAGATCCCGTCACTACCTTCGGAGTAGTATTGCCGAAAGCTCGAAATTTCACAACACCATTTCTTACAAGACCAGCACGACCCCACAAGGCTTACATCCACCTTGATATGCTCTAGTATACGACAATTTCACTCTGCGAAGGGCAGCATCGCCGTTTCAATCCCGCGACGCTTGCGACCGGCTTTCAAGACTATGCTGACATTATTATATCAAAATCTATAAGTCTACCTGCTCTCGATGGCTGGAACTTTCGCACGCCATAGGCAAGATGTCGGGTCCTATCCTCTGGATATATCAGCACTGCGGGTGCGAAACGGATCTACGAAGTGGTACAGAGCTGTCATGCATCCAGTTTGACTGTTTGAGGTAGGAAATATGGCTAACTTTTATTTCTGCTCGAGACCCTCAACTCTGGCCGACCTGCGAAACGAAAACTACGAGCGATACGGTTGACAGACTCGCAACGAAGCGCCCGACAGGCCGTTGTGGATTGGATGTATCTGGGCTAATGAAGAGAAGATTTCAAGACGAGGATGTGTAGACAATGAAGAAGACGTGAGGGAAGTATTTCAAAATCGTGTCATTCGCACTATCTTGATCTGCAAGTCATTTCTGCTCATGATCTTGCCACTGTGCTGCCATATTTGCAAAGCCTATCTCAAACAACATATTCCCGTCCTTTTTCTGATTTCTTCAACCTGTGATGACGGCGTGAGTCTGTCCCTGATATGGCAAGCTGTACTCATATCAAAGCTCTTCCTCAGACCACTCCGACTCTTCATCGTTATCGTCCAAGAACAAGTCTCCAGCCTCACTACCACCACGCACATGATGTCGAAGCGCAGCACCATCGCCATCCCCATGTCCTGCAGTATCCCCACCTTCTTCTCCCTCGAGAACCACATCGCCATCCTTGCGTATCGGAATCGGCAAGCAAGCCTCCATATTCGCCTCAACCGCCGTTCCCTGCCCTTGTACGACAACCGTCTCCTCCGACCGAGAAGCCAAAACCTGTCTCTCCTTCTCCTTCGTCAGGACCACAAAAGCAATAGCATTACTCAGCTTCGCGATGGAGGTATCCCATGCCCCGGCGTTCAGGGCGACGTGGGCGTCGAGGAGGAGTTCGTGGAAGAATTGTGGATCGACGTGAATGGTCACCGTCGGTTTCGCGAAGTCTGGATTGGACGTTGGAGGGACGGAGGTGTCGGTAGTGTCCTGAGGGGAGTCTTGGATCGGGTTTGGGGCCGGAGTTGACTCGTTCGTCGAAGGAAGGGTATAGATGCCCGCGGAGATAGGATCCGGACCGTCAACGTCCTTCGGAAACACTGGGTTGTTAAGCGACGGAGGCGAGAGAACCTTGCTTGGCTGAGGAGGTGGCGTGAGGGCGCTTGTGTGGCTTGTGGGAGTGGTGGCCAACAAGCCCGGGATAGGCGGTGGCAACAACGTTGATGGGAGGAACTGCTGTTCCATCGTCGTGAGATTGATGGTAGGGACTGGCGGGGAGACATCCTTCGGTGGACAGCCGAAGGATTGTGCTGCTAATGTAGTCTCTTTCTTCACCTGTCTCATGGCAGCGTTCGACATTGAAGTGTTGATCAGCTTCGTCATGGCCAGGCCCCTAACGTCTTTCTCGGGAAAGTTCTTGCGGATCCAGACAAGTAGATTTCTCTTGGTCTTAGCCTCGTCGCTGTCTTGCTTCCAGGCTAGCCTCTTGATGTAGAGGTCGTTGAGATCGTCGCCGGTGACTTCGGAAAGGTTCTCGAAGCTGGCAATCCAGGCTTCGATAGCTGGTCGGGCAGTGAGATACTTCTGCGAGACCATGGCGATGAGATTTCGATCCTTGGGTGGGTTGTTGCAAGGCCTGATGTTCGATCAGGTCGGATTTGGTGTCGGGGGAATTTCGAAGTTCAGGACGGCTGATATAAGTAAAGGGAGGGCCAAGTTTCCGCTTGCTGTAGCTGCAGGTACCCATTGCAACTGTGGCTTCTCATGCTTCTCTTGCTTCTCTTCCTTTTCATGTTTCTCGTGCTTCTCGTGCTTCTCTTGCTCCCCTTGCTGCATCAATGCAGGTTGTTTCGGCCTCCGAGACAGCCACGACTGCACGGGTATCAGGATGCGGCTAGCACCGGCGTCGGTGCAGCCGAGACTCCAAGGTTTGATTGCTCGAACGGTGGCGCATCGCGAGCGGAAGTATTCAATCCAAGATCTCGTGTTAGATCTGAAGCGAAGAAGACTCGTCAGTGCAGGAAAAGCAGGCAAGGCGATAAAGCTTCAAAAAGAGCAAGGGATGATGTGCCAAAAGTCAATTTGTGATAGCCATTACCTCATCCTACAACAGTATTCATCCCATGTTCTTTCCTTCAACATCTCCGAGATGCGGATGTTCGCAAATAGATGCCAATTCAGAGAGAAAAGATGTTACGAAGCGGCTGCCGACCCTGGCTCGAAAATGTAGTAGGACGCGCTTAAGGACAGAGAGTCCCTGGAATGGCGAATGCCCGGGTCCGGACAGGAGTGGCGATGGTGGAACACCAGTATCGTGAAAACCAGAAGTCCAGACCTCCATGTTGCGAAGGGCAATGAGCGCAATGGATCGTTGGGAAGAGAGTGTGTGTGCGAAGTCCATTCAAAAACGAAGATCTTTTGGGATCATCAATGTCCTTCTCAGTAGCCGATTCCATCATTCTGAAAGCCAGATATCCTTCTGTTTGAAGGAATGTACTCCAGGCGCAGTCCGTCGTCGCGCACCTGTACATGTCCGACTTCCACCAAGGAAGCAGCAGGCGGAGTAGCTTGCGGAGGCGTAGGAGGTCTGGATGGAGAGAGGAGCCAGACGATGATGTAGAGAGCGGTGAGAAACAACAGCCCGACCAGATTGCGGCTGCAGTGAGAGTACCAGGGAGTACCACCACTACCATGGCCGCTTCCTCCCTTGTCCGAGGTGCTGTCGTTGCGTGGAAGACTTCAAGAGCGGATGGTTCGGAAGGGCCACGAGACTAACCATCGCCGCCATCGCCCTCGGCGTCATCACGACCGGCGCTCTCAAGTGGGGAGTTGTTTGAGCCTGATGCGAATCCCTTTGCTCCTTCTCCAGTCTCAGTGTAGTTGTTGTGTCCGGCATGCGGTGAGAAATCTGCAGGCGGGCTGGAATTGCTGTTATGATCCCGTCGAGGTTCGGTTTCGCCAGCCACAGAGCTGACGTCGGTCATATTCGTCGTGCCCTTGGAGACAGTGTGTGACTTGCGGCCAGACTCTCCGGTGCTCTCGATACCATCTGACGAAGTTCCCCCTGTGGCTGCAGGATCTGCTCCATGGTCACACGGTGCAACCTAGTATACTCATTGTCCTCCCTTCTCGTATACCTCCCTTGCTTTGACAGCATAATAGAGCTGACGTCTGGTCCAAGCACGTATGACTCTCGCTTGATACGCTTTCCGCCAGGTACACGCTTCTTGAACTCCTCAGTTACCGCTGTTCCGTCCTCTTTTCTCTGTCTCAAGTCCGGCATCTTGTTTCGTCTGGGTCTGTTCTGGCGATATCGGGTGCTAACGAGCGGGCAATTTGGTGATGGCGCGACAGTGGGTGGTGAGGTCGGTATTTGCGACTGCGGGTGCGGGTTCCGGAGTTTATAATGCGGAGAAGCTGGACAGTGGATTCTGGATTCTGGATTCTAGAAGATGCTCGGAATAGTATGAAAATGAATCTGTGTATTGATCATTTCTGCCAGGACTTTACTCTCTCATCGTGAAGATTGCAAACCAAAATGGATCCACTGTCGTAGCGGAATCTGCTCTGTCTTGCCCGTTGAGACCGATGGAGCACCTTGCGGATTCGAGAGAGCCTCAGCAGAGAGGGCATTTGAGCGTGCTTTGTGCGGTCATGAGGGTTGGCCGAGGATGAACCATGAAGTTCGTCTGCGGCACATGTTCGATACACAACGAATAATTGTGGTGCTGGGTCTTCGAGGGAGCCGATGGTGGTCGTAACATTGAAGAATTTGAGGTGGAACTTTCGTCCGCGCCTCCTAACTGGTCAACATCCGTGCGCTGCTAAGTCGTGATTGCTAACGTAGCCGCCCGAAGCTTGATGGGGCTTCAATCAATTTCTCGCGAATCAATGCTGACACCAACCCTAACAAAGCTTTGATGGTCAGTCATCAAAACGATACCTTTGTCCTTCGTTCCAATCTACACATTCACCTCGATGAAGCTGTAACGGGACCGACACTTGTTTCTCTCGCATCGCTTCCGCATCGCATTAGCATCCTCAAAACACCGAGCTATCTTCCTCGGAGCCACGCTTATTTTTAAATTTTGGCCCTTAGATTGCTACACCAATATTTACTAAAGATTTGATTTGCTTCAAATTAAGGTGACACCTCGTTCTTTTCCTACTTCCAATATCCGTCCACTTATATCCTAACTCTATAGTCCTACGGTTCGACTGCGATACTAGCTTACCGCTACTAGCGGCGGGCTTTAGGAAAGCCTCGGGCGTAAAGCTACTAAGTCTAACGTTACGTAAGTATTTCTACTCTCGACTATAAGATCCTTAGCCTATATACTAAGGAATTACACTATACTTACTAAAGTAGTATTATACCTAAGTGTAAAAAACTCTAGTCTTAGTAGCTAAGTAGAGGGGATATAAAAACACCTTAAAACCTTATATAGATAGCCGGGCTATAAACCTTCTTTGTTAGTTAAAGCTCTTACATCTAGTAGCTAAGATACCTTCTATCTTTTCTTCTAAGAATAGATAGATTAAAGCCCTCTATATAAGCCTATAGGTTGCCTAATTAACTATAGCCCTAATCTAAGTTTTAACTATAATAACTACTACTATAGCCGACTAACCTAACCTACCTAATACTATACGCTTTACTAACCGAGACTTTCTACCCTTAGAATTCCTAGGCCTCTACATTTTAGAGTATAGTAAGGGAGCCGACCTAGAAGTAACTACAGCCCTTTAGCGAGCTCTCTAGCTTCTCTAAGAATTAAGTACTATATAAGAAGCTATAGTAGCTACTCCTTAGAACCCTCTAACTAATACTACTATTAACTAAGCTCTAAACACTACTACTTCTATAGCTAGACTAATAGGAAGGATCTAGATTAGATATCTAGTACTATATAATAATAGCTAGAGAAATAATAATATCTTAGACTAGATTAACTAGGTCTAGAATTAGATTGCCTAGAATGAGATCTTTATGTTTAAAACACTACTTAATAATCTTTAGAAAATGTAACTAGTATTAACTTACCTTACTAGGGATACTCTTATTAACTAGGTAGTAGCTATTACTAAAGCCTAGAAAGTAAAGAACCTACTTAGGGCTTTTAAGAATGCTATATAAACTCTAGAAGATCTAAATATAGACTTAGACTACACGGAGTCTATTTGTAGGAAATTTAATAGCTGTACCTAGATAGGAGGAGTATATAACTTTATTAGAGTACTAAAAGGCTTGTAGAACAAGCTTTATAACCCTAAACCTAATAATTTCGTCTTTATTAGGAGGTTCTAGGCTAGCCTTAAACGAGATATTAGAGATAAATTAGACTAGAGAGGAGTGTATATATTAAACACTTCTACTAGGGACTATATAAGGTAGGCTATTAATATAGACAAAAAACTCTATAGTACTAGGAAGGCCTAGAAATCTATAAATACCCTACTATAATAAAATACCGAACAATTAGTAGCCCTAGGAACCTCCTAAGGTTCTAAGGGAAGAAAAGACAAAGGTATAAAGGGGAGGAATAGTAAGGGTAAGAAAGGTAGGAAGCATAATAGGAAAACTAGGAGTAATAAGTCCTTAAGTACTTACTTTAAGTATAGGAAGACTAGTTACTAGAGAAATAAGTATATATTAAAAAACTAGCTTATAAGATGCCTAAAGAGGCTTAGTACCTTATAAAGTAGTTAAATGCCTCTACCTCTCCTCTAGGACCTAGCTCCTAAGGTAAACTAGCTATATAAGAGGACTTAGAGAAGGAAGAAGACTACACCCTAGAAAGGCTTACCTCTATTAATAAGAACTTGTTTACTATTAAAGGTGTAATTAGACTACTAAACAAACTAACTAGAGCCTACTTTATACTAGATACTACTACTTTAGGAGTTTATATCTCCTACTAAGTAGTAAAGAGACTCCCTAAGAAGCTTTATATATCTATGCCCCCTATAAGGATACTCCTTCTAATAGGGTAGAGTATTATATTAGATTCTAGAGTTATTTTACTATACTAGATTAGATCCTAGTAGGACCAAATCCCTACTAGAGTCCTAGACATCCTAGAGTATAAAGTAATTCTTAGTCTCTAATAGTTTAGATAGTATAACCTAATAGTAAACTAGTAAGCTAGTAAACTTAGTCTTTAGGACAAGGATAGTAAAGGCTACTCTATTAAGTCTAACTCTAAGATCTTTAAGCTAAAGGATAGAAACCTAGATTTAGAAGTCTTTAACTCCCTCTATTTAGTAGAAGTAGTTAAGTATATATCTAGTCCCTAGTACCTATATATACTACGAAAGGCTTCTCTAAGTAAGGATAATATTTAGGAGAAAGGCCTAAATACTACTACTAAGACAGAGACTACACCTAAGGAGAACAAACCTCCCCTATATAGTAATCTAGAAATCTAGAAGTTAGTAAACTAGTTCCCTACCCTCTAGAGAGATTCCCTTCTAGCTAAACTCCTATAGGAGAGAGCTTTTAATTACGTAATCGAAACTAGAGATACTACCCCTATTAACCTCTAGGCCTATAGCTTAAACCTAAAACAGCTAGAGGAACAGACTATATAGATCGAAAAGCTACTAGAGAGGGGCCTAATTAAGCCTTCTAGTAGTCCCTAGGGAAGTCCTATACTCTTTGTTCTAAAGCCTAATAGGTAATAGAGAATGTATATTAACTATAGGGCCCTTAATAATACTACTATAAAGAATAGCTTCCCCCTCCTAAGGATCTAAGATTACTTAGACACTATTACCTAGGGTAGTATATTTACTAAACTAGACCTTATCTCTAGATTTTAGTAGCTCTTAATCAAACCTAAGCATACCTACAAGACTACATTTAATACTAGGGATAGGAAGTATAAGTTCTTAGTAATACTATTTAGGCTTACTAATACTCTAGCTTCCTTCTAATCCCTAATAAATAATGTCTTAAGGGACCTCCTATAGAAGAATATAGTTATATACTTAGATAACATTCTTATATACTCTAAGGATATAAAGGAACATATTAAGTACTTGTAAGAAGTGTTTAAGAGGCTAAGTAAGGTAGACCTATTCTACTTAGTAGAGAAGTATATTTTAGGAGTTAAGACTATTACCTTCTATAGCTACAAGGTTACTAAGAACATAGTTAAACTAATACAAGACAAGGTAGAAGCTATCTCTAACTAGCCTATACTAACTAATACTTAATAGATCCGTTAGTTCTTAGGACTTACTAGGTACTATAGACGCTTTATTCGTAGTTTTACTAAGTTAGCTACACCTCTGTCTAACCTTTTAAAGGAAGATAATACTAACTTAAGAAGTAAGAAGAAGCGACCTATTAGGTAGAATATATAATATACAATTGCTTTTAAGACTCTTAAGAAAGCTCTCTAGTCCTACCTAGTCTTAATAGCCCTAAATACTTCTAAACCTTTTATTATTAAGACAGATGCTTTAGAGTAGGCTATTAGGGCCGCTCTATATTAGTATAATAATAAAGACAAGCTCTATCCTATTGCCTTCTCTAGAAGAAAGCTTTAAGGAGCTAAGCTTAACTATCCTATCTACGAAAAGGAAGGCCTAGCTATTAAGGAAGCCCTAAGAACCTAGAGTAATTATATTATAAATAGACTGACTATTACTATCTTAACAGACTACTAATCCCTTAAATACCTTAACTAGACTAAAGGTTAGAGTAAGAGGATTATAAGGTAGGCTAAAGAATTTTAAGAATATAACCTAGACATTAGGTATAGGAAAGGTAGTAAAGCTATTGTCCTAGATACTATCTCTAGAAGGCCTAACTTTGTTAGGGAAGGACTAGTAAACATAGCTTAGCCTATAAAGTTAAGTACTACTATTAAATAGCTAGCTATACTAAGACTTAAGGCTAAGGAACATAAACCCTTTATAGAAGCTATACTTGCCTACAAGTAAGATATAACACTTCTATAAGATCCTTACCTTAAGGATATAGTCCTTAAGAGATCCTAGCAGTTCACTACCCTAATAGATAATAAAGGGATTGTTAATCTTAGGTATATTCTACTAGATAATAAGGGAACTATACTATACCTTAAACCCCTTTAGAGGTATAACTTTGTTAATAGAATCTATACCTAGTATAGCTATTTTAGATTTCCTAGACTCCTTAGACATATTAAAACCCGGGCATAGTAGCCTTTAATAAAAATAGACCTTAGGAGATTCTTAAGACAGTGTCCTACTTATTAATTAACCTAGAAACAGCTTCCTAACAAGCTAGAGAAC